TCTCCCAAATGTTCACCTATTTATCCTTTAACAACACTACCTAAATTTGACTCTCATTAAAAAAATAACTACATTAAATATTAAAGATAAATAGGAATAAAAAACACATCATACAAACAGCATAAAAACAGGGAAGTTTCCAAAAAGCAGGGTTCAGATCCTTAAGACAACTAGATGCTTGGTCCAAGAAAGTAGAATATCTTTCCTAGCCTCATGTTTTGTTCATGTAGATATAAATGTTCTTGGGAAAGAAATATTATTCTTATTATAGTGAAGCAGGTTTCTGGGTTAAAAGAAAACAAAACAAAAAATAACTCCATACAAATACATATGTGTGTGTGTGTATTTTTTTAATATAATGTTTTTTCTTCCTATTTATCTTTAATATTTAATTTATATATGTGTGTATACACATATATATAAATTAAATTAATTTATTTATATTATTTCAAATTCTTGAAAAATGACAGAAGTTTCTACATCTACTGGCTRTATTAAAGTATTCAACAAAATGAATTATCTCATGCTTACTCACTTGCTCAACAATGTAATGTTTTTGGTGACACTGCTTGCACARTATAGCATCTTAATTTTGGAATGTACACACACACACATTCATACACAAGATAAAAGAGAAAACTAATATTCAAAGAAAAATTTCAACCTTGAACCAATAGCATATTCAGAGATATTTGTTCAAACTAAAATCTCAAATCACTCTTCCATTAACCTCAGAAGAGTATTAAAATAGTTTCATGAAACTTACTGAATTCCCCCTTCCAAAGGATTTAGATATATGTAAATATGTAGAAATTATGAGCTTCTTATTTTTACTCTTCTCCTTTCTTCCTACCTTTTCCCTGTGTGTTTCAGAAATTAAGAAAAATAAATAGATAAATACAGATCAATCGATCGATCTGGTATTGTGATACCTCCTGCTTCACTTTTCTTGCTAAGGACTGCCTTGGCTATTCCAGATCTCTTATTTTTCCAAATAAATTTCATAATTGCTTTTTCTAGTTCTATAAAGAATGTCACTGGGATTTTAATAGAAATTGCATTAAATCTACATCACAATACTAGACCTTAAGTTATACTACAGAGCTACAGTAACAATAAACAGCATGGCATTGGCACCAAAGTAGASGAGTAGACAATATTATAGAATAGAAGACACAGAGACAAATACACATAAATACAGTTATCTCATACTAGACAAAGGTGCCAAAACATTCACTGGAGAAAAGATAGCCTCTTCAACAATAGTACTGGGAAAACTGGAAATCTATATGCAGCAAAATGAAATCAAAACCATATCTCTCACCATGCACAAAACTCAACTCAAAGTGGTTAAGGACCTAGGAATTAGACCAGAAACCCTGCACCTAATAGAAGAAAAGGTAGTTCCAAATCTTCATCATGTCCTATAGGTTCCAACTTCCTTAACAAGACTCCTAAAGTGCAAGAAGTAAAATTAAGAATCAATAAATGGGACGATTTCAAACTAAAAAGCTTCTTCTCAGAAAAGGAAACAATCAATAATATGAAGAGAGAGTCTACAGAGTGRGAGAAAATCTTTACCACATGCACATCAGATAGAACACTAATCTCTAGGATATATAAAGATCTCAAAAAACTTAACACCAAAAAAAAAATAACTAAATCAATAAATGAGCTAAGGAACTAAACAGACACTTCTCAGATGATATAAAATTGATCAACCAATATATGAAAAACATTTCAATGACTCTAGTAATTAGAAAAATGCAAATCAACACTACTCTAAGATTTCATCTCATGCTAGTCAGAATGGCAATTATCAAGAACACAAACAATAAGTGTTCGAGAGGATGTGGGGGAAAATGTACACTCATACATTACTGTTGGAACTGCAAATTGGTACAACCACTCTGAAAAGTGGTATGAAGATTCCTCAGAAAACTTGGAATGAAAACACCATTTGACCCAGCTATTCCACTCCTCTGTCTATACCCAAAGGACTTAAAATCAGCATATTAYAGTGATGCAATCACATCAATGTTTATAGCGCCTCAATTCACAATAGSTAAACTGTGGAACCAACCTAGATGCCCTTCAATAGATGAATGGATAAAGAAACTGTGGTATATATTTACAGTGGAATATTACTCAGCATTAAAAGAGAATAAAATTATGGCATTTGCAGGAAAATGGATAGAGATGGAGGATATCTTGCTAAGTGAAATAAGCCAATTCCAAAAAACGAAAAGCCACATGTTTTCTCTAATGTGTGGATGYTAATCCAATATTAGGGGTGGGCAGGGGAAGAATGGAAGAAATTTGCATTGGGCAGAGGGGAGTGAGAAGAGGGGTAAGGGCATGGGGGTAAGAAAGATGGTGGAATGAGAAGGTCATCATTATGCTAAGTACATGTATGATTGCACAAATGGTGTGACTCTACATCATGTATAACCACAAAAATGAAAAGTTATACTCCGTTTGTGTACAATGAATCAAAATGCATTCTGCTGTCATGTATAACTAATTGGAACAAGTTTTAAAGAAAAAAAAAAGCAGGGTAAAAGGTACAGCCGAACTGCCAGGAATGATGCACAGGGTAAAGCAGTAATTAGGAAAAAGACAAGGAAACTTTAGGGATGGAACTTAGATGAAAGAAGCAACTCTGGTCAAGATGGAGCAGGCTGAGATTATGGTCAGAAAAACTGAGATATTACACACAGTATGAACGAACAAGTATATAATGAGGGTAACAAATGCCAAGTTTCTCTTTTTAAAGTGTTACATAAGAAAAGGTAAAGGATAAAAGAACCTGGTGGAATTGACTTAGAATAAGACACTAGTATGAGTTCATGTTTGATGACAAATGGATAATACATAGGTAGATAGATAGGAAGCGAGATAGATATAGATATGCTATGGTGTGTGTGTGTTGTGTGTGTGTGTAAGGGAGAGAGAGAGATTGGTATAGATGCTATGGTGTGTGTGTGTATGTGTGTCTGTCTCATACTTCTGTTCACTAAGAGAAGCAATGTCATCCAAGAAACAATGAACAAACCCACACATAGTTCTTAAATTGATTTCCAGTAAAGAAGGGTTCCTCAAAAAAAGGGTTGATTCAAAGACTGAGATTAAAAAACAACTAATATCTTTTGTGGGAAAGCAAGAAAATGCTAAAATAATGAAGGAAATTTGTCAAATAGATATGTCTTAACATTTAGGGATTCCAATCTGGGATGTGAGCATCAAAATAAATAATGATGAATAAAATGGGTATCCAAACGTTTATACTAATGTAAATAAATAAAATAGTAAATGGATACATGTAAGAGACAGTAACTTTTCTTACAGTATAAATAAATGTAGATGAATGATGAAATTAGAAAACCACCATTTGGTATCAATGTAATAATTCAAACAAAAATCATCAATGAATGTGAAATCTGGTATGAGAAAGTTAATAATGGCTTCTCTTTTCTTTTTGGTGCTGGGGACTGAATCAAGGGCTGCCCAGATGCTAAGTATGTACTTTACAACTGAGCTCTACCCATGGCCCAAAATTTGCATAATTTCAAAGCAATCCTTACACATGGGAAAATTAGTAATTTTATTATACAGAAACCTGGCAGATATCACCTTAACCAACTGATCAATATTTTGTGCCTCCTGATATGATACACAATGAAGAATAGGGCATCACTAGTGAGAGAGTCCGACTTTAAAAAAAAAAAAAAAGGCAAACCTAAAATAAAAACACTACAATTTGGCTTCACCCTAACTGGCCTTTATTCATCAAAAATTCCAATGTTACAAAAAGCAAGGAAAGACTGAGCAAATAAATATTCCATATTGAAGGCTAAAATAAACTTTTTAAAATAAAAAATAGCATTATTAAGGCAACTGGTAAAATGAGGATGGGATGTTAGGATGAGATAGTCATATTCTATCAATACTAACCAGTTAGTTTGTTTAGTGTGTGGTACCATGTCTGCAAAATATAGTTAAATAATTCAGCCTGGGGAAAACATTATATATACTACATAGCATTTATATGTATAGGCACCACGTATCATGAAAAAAAGTAGTCAGATGTTAACAACTAAGAAACTTGGAATTCTTTTTGCTATTCAAATAATATGTCTATAAAAATATTTCAAAATTGGTACCAAATAGCCACTATTAACCACTTATAAATGCAATAAAAGAAATTTAACAGAATTTATAAATAAGATTATAAAATAGAAAATTTTCTATTAAAAATGAAAGTACAAAGTCACACATTGTTATCCATGTTTCAATGTTACTTCTACTCCAAGCATTATACTGCTCTAAGGGAAAAATTTTATCTCTTCTTTCCTTTTATCTTATGTTTAGACAAATGCCTAATTTAAATACACAGACACAGACACACACACACACACACACACACACACACACACAGGTCTTTTGTTTTTGTTATTTTTTTTTTTCTTGAGGTACTGGGCATTGAATCCAGGAACACTCTAACACTGAGCTACATCCCCAGCCCTTTTTATTTTGTATTTTGAGACAAGGTCTCACTAAGTTGTTTAGTGTTTCAATGAGTTGCCAAGGTTAGCCTCCAGCTTGCCATCCTCCTGCCTCAGTACAAGTTTTTTTTTTTAATATTTTTTAGATGTTGATAAACATTTTTTTATTCATTTCTTTATATGCAGTGCTGAGAATCTAACCCAGTGTCTCACATATGCTAGGCAAGTGCTCTACCACTGAGCCACAACTCCAGCCCCAGTACAAGTTTTAAAACTATGATTAACATTTAAAATTTGCAAAAATTAATACCTGATCAATTATTAAGAAAAAACTGTTGAAATTTCTTTTTTTCCAAACTGATACATAAATAATGTTTAAAATCATTTTCCAAACTGATACATAAATAATGTTTAAAATCATTAAAAATCATTTTGTTCTCAAAAGAAATAAAAATATAAGTCAATATGCTCACTTTCGCTTTTTCTCTTGGCTAGGTTTCATATGTCAAAGCTATTGACATTTGGATGGCAGTATGCCTCCTTTTTGTGTTTTCAGCACTTCTGGAGTATGCAGCTGTAAATTTTGTATCAAGACAGCACAAAGAACTGCTGCGATTTCGACGAAAGAGAAAGAATAAGGTAAGTAATTGAATATATTGGGTTTGGTTGTATATCAGTTTTATTGGAAAGTAAATTTGTTATATTTAATGGAAATGTACAGGAAGAAAATTGGGACTGGGGACTAAATGATATGATATTCTTTGTTTTGTCCACTTGAAACTAAAAATGTCAAAATTCACTTCAGGAAGAAAATGATGACACCTAGCTATACTTTAAACAGAATATCTGGTAACACGAGAGCTTTATCAACTTCCCAATGTACTTTCAGGAATAACACTGTTTTTTGTTTGTTTTCTTGCTTCAATTTGTGAAATACATAATCTCTTACTTGAAATATTCAATTGTTTTATTTGTTTTACTTGATGCAAGTCATCAAATCAAATAAAGTTGCTGCTTTTTTCTGAGCTAATTCCTTGTTTCCATAAAATATTACTTATTTAATAACACCATGATGTTAAATTCACACAAAACTATGTAGTCTATTTTTCATTTATATTTTATGTTCTTAAGATATTTCTTCTGAAACTCTATGGGAAACACAATAAAGTGCAATCTTTATCTTACTATCATATGATTAGAGATGATTCCAGGAAAAAAATTATTTATAACACCTTTAGGAGGCCATAGAAATTGTAGAAATAACCTAAATGGATTTGTATGTACAGAGCAGCGTTGCTCCCCTCTATTARGACCTGTTGTGGCATCTCCCTTTAAAAGTACATGGTTTTTATCAACCTTTCTCTGTAAGAGAGAGTTTCTCTTGACAGCAAATGGATGAGTTTACTTCTTCTATTTAAAATGTACCAACAGACATTTTAAAAGCAAATGGACTTTTAAAGCAATAAAATACTGTTGAAGTGATGTATAATTATAGCCAGGATCCAATACACTGGAATATTTCAGTCAAAAGATAAAACCTAAGGATAACCATCTGGTTCATATGGCATGAATTTTTAAGATTTGATGGTTTCTGAATTACTGATTATATACTAAACTTTTTTTAAAGCACTAAGCTTTAACCTCTCAGCACTAAAAATATACTCAACCAATACTTGATCATTTCTAATTGGCCCTCCAAAAATTATCACTGTTCCAATAAATACCCAATAAACTCCCATGCTGCATAGTAAAGAACAGCAGCATCAGGAGATTATTACATTGGACAGACAACAAAACTAGAGCATACATTTGTTTCAATTTATATGAAAATAAAAGCATCTGATTTGTATATTGAATATATTATGATAGGGAGATTAACTTTTCTTTATCTTCTTTCTCCACGTTCCCTGATTTACTTATATTTTCTCCTTGTTCTTTACTTTTCCTTTATCTTACTTTCCCCTCCYCCTTCTCTAATGATTCTTGGCACTTGCTGAAACACCTTAACAGGACAAATGCTGTATCAACAATATCAATGGGTGAAACTCTTTCCTATCAGTGAATGACAGACATTTTCCCTACTACTATCATTTATCACAATTAAGTCAATATACATTTTTCATATCATTAATGATTTGATTCTCCATTTTTATTGTTTCAATATATTCTTCCTCCTCCTTATTCACTTTACAATGTTTCAGCCATGTGATCCAAACACCAGAAATGAGAAATATTAGACATACTGTGTTTAAATAGGGAAAATCTGAGAGCTCATTCATATTCTACATCCAACAATCAACAGTATCCACTAGATAATGTAATAGACCACAAGTTTAGAAACTCAATTTTGGCTCTTCCTTTTAAAAATTATTCTTGTTAAAGTGTCTTCTTACTCAGTTTTGCCACATGTAAGAGGTGCCTGCCTATAATCCCAGCAGCTCAGGAGGCTGAGACAGAAGGATCACAAGTTCAAAGCCAGCCTCAGTAATGTATTGAGGCACATAGCAACTCAGCCAGACCCGGTAATCTAAATAAAACATTTTTAAAAGGGTGGGAATGTGACTCAGTGGTTAAGCACCCCTGGATTCAATCCTCAGTATATGTATGTATGTGTATATGTATATGTATGTGTGTATAAACGGTATACATCAAATATATGCACTATATATATGATGCTTCTTCCTCTTTAGCTCACAGAAAGATACGGAGATTAATTTTTCCAGTGATTAGTATTCTGGGAAAATGTTGAAATGCAAAAAATACTCATACCTTATTATTTTCTAAACACTATCAGAAATATTCAAGGATCAAATGTAATTAAATGTAATTAAGATTTAATGTAAAAATAGTTATTTTAAGTGCAACTCATTCTTTGGGGTAAATACTTTACATATGTGGAAATTCACTAATTCATACATATTATTGTTAAAATGGTATATATGATTAAAACCAATGTGTAATTATATTTAATTATATATGACTTGACTCTCTGGTTTCTCAATCCCTCTTGGTCCACTTTACCTTCCCACAGACAGAAGCTTTTGCATTGGAGAAGTTTTACCGTTTCTCAGACACGGTAAATTGACTTTCTTAACTCTAAAATAGAGGAATGTGATCATCAGTAAAAAGCAGACAGCATATTCTGCACCAAGGCAGTGTTTGGTGGGGAAACACAGCCCCTTAAAGCCAAGCAAACACCCTCTCCCATCAGCTAAAAAAGTATATTCTCTTTTTCTAAGAACTTTACACTTGTCTTCCCTCACTCGGTAAAAGGATATTTTTTAATTATCCTTCATTTTATTAACAGAGCTATTTGGTCAAAATGATTTTAAATGTATATTAAAGAGAAATGTCATATATATTGCAATAATCATATATTGTACAAAATTCATTTCAAAGTAAGTGAGAAACATATTTATAGAAATGATGTCTAAAAGTAGCTGCTTAAGTGACCTCAAAATAAAACCAAAGAATGYTCTATCCAGTCTGTATAACTTTAGAATCCATTTTTAATATTGAAATTACTTAAGGCAAATGAACAATTTGGTTTTAATAGTAGCATCCTTTGAAGTTTTTTAATAAAAAGACATCACAAAGAACTTGTCCAAGTATAATGGCCAAATATTTAGAAGGGTAATGGAGAAGAGAGAATATTGGCCCATATGTGATTTTAGAGCACCCAAAATACAGCTTACAGTAATTACATATAAATCTACCAGAGTCAGGATTTTATTCTGGGATTCATATACAAATAGTTTAGTTTACTAAACTAAAATTTCTGGGGTAAGGTGTACCTAAAAGTAGCTCCCCAGATGAGTCTAACATACACCCCAGTTAAGAAWCCCTGTGAAAGACAAAATGTTAAATGAATATAACAGTAATCTCAATTTCACTGCAGATTATCTAGACTAGTATTACTATACTTAATAAATCTCTTATAATATATRATCACCTAACTTTATTCCTTTGCTTTGAAAATTACGTTATTTCCTAGAATCCCAGACTCCCACTTTACCTTTTGGTTTTTGTCTCTGAGGAATAATTTCAAATTATCTTTCTTGATTTTATTAACTGTAAAATTTTAATTGTATGGAATTTGCATAACAGATATAGTTTTTGCAACACTTATTCGTACATACATATAAATGTATTAGAATATATATTAGAAACTATTTTTATATATGTATGTATATATCTACATATCTGTACCTATCTGAATGCTTTGTCTCTTTGGGAGACCAACATAATTATGTCTCTAGTTACTAAACAGTTAATGTCTAAAGAAACTTCATAATGAAAGATATAAATTATATTAATTATGACTTTACAAAGAACTCTGATGAAGAGTTAGGCTTACTTCATGGACACTGAATAGCTTTCTAAAAAGAAGCAATAAGGTAATTGAAATACACTCATTCGAAAACATATGACCTGTTTATTTTTAAAATAGTCTTAGCATTGGGCAAACCTGAAAATGGTTATTTTGACTTTTTGAATACTATTTTCAAATTAACAACCCTTTCAGCTGACTGAATTTATCATTTGTTCAAGCAACATAATTTGCTTAGAAACAATCTGAGCAATCTAAACTTTTGCAGTAAAAACGAGTATAAATATTAAGAGTATACTCTTTATTTCTCTTTATTTCCATGACTATTGGTTTACCTGAATTTACCTCAGTACTCTAATTTGTTAGAATATGAAAAGTAAATTAAATTGCCTCATTATAGAAATTTTGTCACAGAGGTAACCTTACATTAATGCAAACAGTAGTCCTAGGAAATTTTAACTTGGTTCAACCTTTGCTTAGGCATTGCATACAATTTAATACTCCACTTTTTTATTAAGGTATCATGGAATCCTTTGTCCAATGTGAAAGAATAAAAGTTTTCTCTTGTATCCAAATTTCCCCACCCCACACTGTCAGAGCCTGCTGTGTGCTGTTCACCCACTACTCCATGMCCCCATGGATGCTATCTCCAGTGCTGTGTATGTGTGGGTGTATGCGTGATAAGAAAATATTTTGGCTAGAAGTTACTATTCTCATGTATGATATCATTACTTAAGTCTGGAGTTGTATAAAGACACCAAAGCAGTTGTGAACATGTTATTTGTTGAAAGATATGGATGAAATGGGATTGCTTTAATGCATTTCATGCAGCTTCATCCACATTACCAGGTAATGGTGCAATGGTTTGCCGAGAAAACACATTTGCACAACATTCTAGTACTTCTGTCTTCCTACCTATTATCATTTATCAATTATTATTTATATATGAAAATGATATATAAATGGACCATTAGTTCTAGATTTAGGAAGTGATGACCAAGTTTATGTTTTACTAGGCAAATAGGTATCTTTTTAAATAAAGATATTGAATGTAACTTAACAATCTGTATTCAAACATAATTATTTACTTGTGTGTTTATACTGTTTTACTTTAAAACAAATCATGATGAATTCTAAGGATAACGCATAATTTTTCTATCCTACAGATTTCATCAGTTCTATAGTCTCATGACCAATACAAATATACATATATACTTTGTTGGCTGAAAGGATGAGGCTTTATGGTTGAAAACAACATGCATCTATTATACTAAATTATTTAATATTTCCATTATACATCAATTTATGATTTATTCTTGAGTTAAGATTTTCTTTCAAAAGATAAAATTATATCCTGTAAATTTCTTTGATACATATCAAAGGAAAAGTAATTTCTCAATAATTTGCATTAAAATATGATTCTAGATGAATAATCATCAGGGGTTGAAATTGTATCCTCTCAAATACAACAAAAATTGTAAGATTTTAATATGTCCTGAAAAAAAACTATTTAGAGTTTATGTTAAAAACAGCCACTTCTTAGCACTATATACCTTCTGAAATCCTGCTCAGAAAAATATATGATAAAATAATATAATCTCTATTTAATCTAAGTTTGAATGCATTATGGTGACTTCCTTTTCAAAGTTAATTAAAATATAGATTATTTTGAATCTGCCATTAGGTGTAAAATCTTATATAACTCTATAATAATGAGTTGGCACTGACAGAACATATAATATATTATGCTATAAGTAGATATGTAAATTTTAAAAAATATTTCATTCTCATATATCCTTTAAAATATTTGTATTACATTTTCGTATGACCTGAAACATTCAGCTTTAAAAACTTATACCTTCCATTTATTAACCTCCAAACCATTTCTAAATCTAATTTTAACATGACATGCATAAACTTATCTAATTCTTTGATAATTTATATGTCATCTATAATAAATGCAAAATTCTCATGGAGCTAGATTTCAAAGAATTGTATATTAACAATGACTTTTAATTATAAAAATTTTAATCTCATCTATAATTGTATTTTTAAGCACTAGGTTTTTAGATGATACAGAAATTTGAATAGATGTATGAAACTGAATGTTTTAGAAAAGAAATTTTAATTCACATTTTTCAGCTGATCTCAGACTCTTCTACATGATCATCCTTCCCCAAAAAATATGCCACTATGATATTTACCATCAATTTTTTTAGATCCACACACTTTGAAATCATGTRAGTGGAAATTAATATCTTAGTTTCTTCCCCTGTTACTTTCCCATTTCCATTTCTCTTTAAAGCTATAAAAAATCACAATAAAATCTTTGGAGTAATCTACTTAGCATCTTAAATGTATAAATGTTCCAAAGGTTCGTTCTAAGGGAAAAACATTAGAATAAAAATTATGTATTTAATGCTGTTATATCTTACAGCAATTCACATAATCAACACTTCATGGTGTATTAAATGCTTAGTGTTTTACCACTCAATGGCAATTTTCAGGTCTTCTCCACTTTCATACATAAGTAAATTTTTTTTTTGTTCTTGGCTTTTTGTTTGATTTTTTTAAGACTAAGAACAGGATAGGAAATTAGTTCTTACCTCCTGTATATTCATATATTATTTTAATGATAGAGATGAAGCAATTCTACCAAATGACTATATCTACCTTTGATCTTCTAACATTTCTAAATTATCATATGTATTTATATGAATCATCTTTGGCATAATTCTCTAAAGTAAATGAAAATGCCCTTAGAAAGTTTCACAATGTAGTACTGATGCATAATTACTGTCATGTTTTTCTCAGTTTCAAATGTAAAAAGTTGAAGAAGGTCTTCCTGTTAAAAGACTTGTACAGTAACTAAATGGCTTTTTATATTTTTCATTGCCTACTACTCTAACTTGCTTAGAGCATAGTAAGAGAGTTTACCTCTGGGTTTATAGGATGTATCTTTAATTTTACTATTTTTGTCAGTCCATTTTAGTTAATTATATTGAACCTTTTTATTACCTATATTTTGAATTATAAAGTGCCTTAATTTTATAACCATTAAATTTTCCCTAACATACAGAGTATTCTTGAATCAAAAATATAGGTAAATATTTTTAGCTTCTTGCTTTTTTCACATGCTGTTCATCAGATTTTAAGCTGAAGATATTTTTAGAAAATCAAATTACCCCAAAGAAATATTTGAGTACTAATCAGAATAAAGAATATCTAAGCATACATAATACAAGATAATTTTATGACTGAACCCAATATGAATTTTATGACTGAATTAAAAACAGAATTAGGTTAGTAATAAAATAATTCCAGGTATCTTTTAATTTAACAATCTAATAATAATATTATTATAATATTAATAAGTTGCTAGAAAAACTTCCTCCATTCTTTATGATTTAGGAGCAATTTTTAAACCTATCCCAAGAAGCCAGTCATTAAAAACAAAACAAAACACTTGAAACCTTTGTGGTCCAGGGACCCATGTTCTCTTTCATCCCTGACAGCCTAGGAGAACAGATTGAGCCCTGTCAGAGTGTGGTTTACTGCCATCCCACAGAGATGAGAACCTGTTTCTGAAAGAGCCCTAACACGACTCCACATACTCATCTCATTTATATACTTTAAATATTTATGTTATTTCATAAAACATATTTAAAACACTAAAGGCACCTTGGTTTTATAATTAAATTTACAAAAAATTCTAGCAGTCATATGACAAAACACATTTATTGTAA